CGTTTAGCTATGTACAAAATTATATTACAATATCAAACATAACTTTACTTACTTATTTGGATGAACTTCAACTTTATTTTTTGAGTTTGTTAGTCTTTTTTGTATGTTAACAATTTGAGTTTACTTTATTTAAACACAAACACTTAGCTAGATTGTAAAAATAATATAGCAAAGTTTCAACTCGACACTAACCCAACTAACCCACACGGTTTGGGTTGGGTTGAGTTGAGTTGTAGTTTTGTTTGGGTTGGGTTGAGTTGAGATTTTTCAAACCGTATACATTGGGTTGTGTTGTTCAAATGTTTCCAACCCGACCAACTCAACCTATATGCAGCCCCAATACRGTTGATCTCATTATTTTGTAGTTTGAACAACCAAATTGTTTTGGGTTATTTTCTATATTTTGTAAAAATATATTCATAGTGTTGGGTTCACGTGAAAACCAAACATATTATAGAGAGATCACAAAATAACATTAAAATTTTACAGCAATTCATTGTGAAATGTATGAAAAATGAACATTTACAGAAAAAAAATATATATGTGAAGGTTTAGCTCCACAGCTCACAGAGTTTTTGCTGTAAAGTTTTAGTGTTATTTAAGTGGTTTCATGAGTCTCACGAAAAACAATTTGGTCTCACATGAATCCGTATGTTAGAAAATGAATTTATGTGGTTTTTAGCAAGCAATAGTGTTTTTTTTTAAATAAAATTTGAAGATATCATGAAAATTTAAAAAAATATAAAGGTTCACATTTTTTGTGTAATTTCTTTAATTCAAATTTTTTATTATAATTTAATTTAGGTTTAATGACCAAGTAATTTGTTTTTGATTTAGTAATATAATTTTTTCAAAAATAATAACTAAATATTCTGTTATGACTTAATAATTATCTTAATTATATTTTAAATATATTTAAAATAAGAATTTTATTCTGAACGGTTAGTTACAATAATTCAAATATAGAGCTTACTAAGTTGTACTTATCACATTTTACTTGTAATCTTGAATTTTAAGTAATATACATCAATAAGCAATATTTCGTATATAAAAGATGGTTAAAATAGAATAATAGTTAATAAATGACCCATGCAGATATGTATTATGATTTTTTATAAGCTTAAAACGTGTGAAAAATAACGCGATAAACGGATACTTTTTCAATATCAAAAATAAGAAAATCTAATAGAAAACGAGACTGCATACTGCATCATCATTAACATATTCCATTAAGCCAACATGTGGCATGTATTAAATTTTGTTTTTTACATATTAATAACGTAACACCAGTGTTTTTACGGTTAATCATTTAACAGTGTAGATTTGTTTWAGTAAGTCTGTTAGTGYCCAASTATTAYTGAATGTTYGTGACTTTTGAATCAAGAGCCACGATAGATTTCAGATGAAGAAAAGTTGTGTTGGAGGTTATCAGAGGCATTAAGAGACCTCCAATGCAAGTTCGATCATTTTAGAGGTTGCAAATCAGCTTAAAAACACAATACAGTGTCAAACTAAGTTGTGAAGTGAGTTAAACTCACTTCAAAACTAGCACCAGACATTTTGGGCTCAATCTAGTTTCAACACTAGTTTAAACTAGAGCTCGACACCGGAATTCTCGAGTTAGTTTYCACGCTATTTTAAACTAGCGTGTATGCCTGATCTACACAAAAAGACCGAAAATCGGGGGGGTTTTTCTCATTTTAGCCATAACTTTTTCATCTCTACTCTGATTTGAGCGATTCTTTTTGCTATGGGTTCATTTTCCCGAGTTCTTCGAGATGGAAACAATGATGATTAATGATTCCTTGATRATTCTGGAGTTCATAGATGTTGAAGGTAACATCACATCTTTATCCTTTAAATCTAGGATTTGGTCCTCAKAAGTAGCCTTGGCACCACCTTCGCGTGGATCATTTGGACGAATTTGGTTAGGAAGATGCAACAATAGTACTTCACCATTTCAATAGAAACTCTATGGTCAATTACATATAGTAGAAATATATGTATGCATGTGTGTGCATATATATATATATACATATATATATATATATATAGAGAGAGAGAGAGAGAGAGAGGGGTTATTATACAACATTTGACATTTGTACAGCCAATACAACTAAATCTAAACCATCCATTTAATTTGATGAATATGTAATTTTTTAGAAGTTTTGATTGTTTACTAATATAAAGTATTGATCATAATTAATGAACCTTATTCATCTTTCATGAATATTTAAATCATAATAAATCAACTCTCATCATTTCCGTAAATATTTCAATTTATTGGGTTGCATTGATTGTACAAATGTGATGGGTTGCATTTGAAACAAACTCTATATGTGTGTGTGTGTGTGCCTATTTTGTCTAGTAAAATTTTGGGTTGTGTAATATAACAACTTATAACATAAGCATATAAACCTTAAATGTTTGATATTGTTATTCCTCATCTCTAAAGTCAATATTTTCTAGAAGAATTTATTATTATAYGTTACAAATTCCTTTTTAACTGAAACCTGCCTAAAAATTGATGTTTACTTCCTGCATTTATTCGTAAACGGTCTATGTAGAATTGGCTGACAAGGGACCTCTAACAAAGCTTACCCGTTGCCATCCCTAAATTATGTGGTCCTTCTTGTGTCTACCCTTCAACCCTATGCTARAAACTTGTCATATCTTGTATAGGGGTCTAAATTAAATGAGAACTGTTTTGTTTGTGATAATCGTGAGATCTAATCTCAACCAMAAATCAAAGGTTAAATTAGAAAATTAATAATGTTGGTAAGTTTAACTTAAAATATTAATTAAGGGCATTTTAAGGATTTTATAGATATCCTCCCTCATATTTCCTCTCTCTGATGAATCTTATTCGACGAACCTTATTCCGATAAACCTTATGTGAACACAAGATACACACTGTGATACCCATATATAAATACAAGATGCACAACATGATATATTTTGTAAATCAATGAAAATAATGAAAATGCACACTATGATACAATTCATAAAACAAATAAAATACATTATGATACACATGAACCATTGTGAACGTTATCATTTATGATAAATAGTGATTCACAAATGTCTTTAAAATACGGTGTATATTATGCAATTGATATACTAGGTAACTAATTTTAATTAAATATTTTGATTAGTTGTCAAAAATAGAATTACGAAATCACTTTTTTAACTTATTTAAGAAATATCCTTAAATATCTCAAACGAGTAGTTTACACTGGATCTCACGGTTAGCACAAACTAATCAGAGAAACTTTCATGAATATTTAAACCATAATAAATTAAAAAAAACTCATTATGTCTCATAAAAAAACATATTTCAAGATTAAAATACTAAAATAACTTCAAATAATCTAAAAAACAGTCAATTATAAACAAAGACAAACTTTTTGCAAAAAGACAATGAAAAATAAATATATGTTCGATGTTGCTAAGGCAGATCCTTTTTCAGAAAATGATAGATTTTGAACTTAGCATACGATACTTCCATCGATAGCAACAATCAGTTTCATGACTCATGTGCCATTGCTGTTACTACTGCATACGAACCATGTGTATCACCGATACCAAACTTTCGTGTAAAAAACCGAATACTCGTATTAAATAGCTATGAGTTGTCACTGTTACGATGTTTTCTTGGTACTGGTCAATGACTATCAACTTTGATTAGAGAGCGTTGAATTTTTGGTCACTAACTTTCCCGATCAATGTTTAATCTTGTTGGAATTGTATCTCTACAACGTGTTATTAACTATTGTTGCATTGTACGAGTATCATTCTAGTAGTATATAAAAAACAATTTCTTTCATTTCATTCTACCAATTATTGCTTAAACTCTAACCAAACACCCCTAACTTGAGGTGGTTATTTCAATATGTCAAAACGCTCATATCATTTTTCTCTCTTTAAGCATTAGGAAGAACAACACATAAGTATCTGATTCAATCATTAACAGGTATAATTGAAAATTGGAATTGTTGACCAGATCTAGATCCGGCTTCGTTGAAACCAGTCACGGATCCATAATTTTTATTCAGTGGAATCACCTTTAAGGTAGATTAAATGCCCACAAAATCGTCCGATGTTTTTTCAACCTAATTACAACGTTTTGAGGGATTTTTTAAAATTTTTGGTTGATTTCGAGGGATTTTTTTAGTGTTTTCGTCGATTTCGAATAACTTTTTTGGTTTTTTTGATTGACTTCAGTAGATTTTTTTTGTTAGAATAATTGTTTTGATTGGGGTTGGGAGCCCGTGGAAAAATATAACCAGGGGGGGAAGTGAAAGATAAATCATATAAAACCTAAATTTTAACCTAGGATTTTTTTTTTTTTGAGTTTTTGCTATAGCATCGTCCCCTAGTTGAAACCAAATCTCCCTTCAAACAGTTAATCACAATTAAGGGGTCGTTTACGAAACACTCACATGGTAAGTGATTACCAGTAAAATTCCAACACTATCACTTACCGGGTAAAATTTTAGTCAACAAAAACGACATCTTATACAACAATGATAACATTTTATTTTGAAATTATGCAAACATTTGATTCGATTGTTTCAATTAAAAATCAAATATGATATGAAATTTGAATATTTCTGGTATTCTCCTATTTTAATTTTCCTCTTATTTGAACCCAAAGACACATTCTCTCGCTATATATGCAGTTTTTTTTTCTTCTTCTTGAAATTAAAAATAGAAATAAAAATGTGATTTTATACCAAATGAGTATGTATGTATGCATGCATGCAGTTAGTCTCATGTGCCCATTGTAATTGTATATGTTAGTACAAGGAGGGTGATACTATTTGACCAATGGCTTTCTTTACCTGCATTATGCTAATTTTCTTTCCGTTATTACCCTTCGCCTTCACCTGAAATTTAAATCCAATTCATTAAAAAGTCTAGTAGTCGATAAATTGTTTGGTAAATGGCCCCGTGACCAAAAATCATGATTACCTTAGCTCTCATCTCCGCCATACACATCCCACCGTTTACGCACGATTGGACGGTGGTGATTTCGACTCCGAGTTCCCTTAGCTTCTTCATCACATCCAACAACAATCCCTCTCTATGCAAACATTGGATCTCCACCAACGCATCACTCTCGATTATCGACACCTCCACTTGAACCGCCACCGCCGTCCTCCCTCCGCTGCCTTCCGCCACCCTGATCTTCCTCATCTTGGAGCTGCTATGATCCAAGGCCTCCAGATCTTGAATCTTCTTTCTCAGCTGCTTCACGTACTCGATGGTGTCCCCCAGAATGGACGCCTTATCCATTTTAGTCACCAATGGTACCAGCGATCTCAGGATGATGAACCGCTCGCTTAGCTTCTCTCTACGACGTCGTTCCGCCAGCACATGGTTAGCGCTCATGAGTTCTTCATGCGACGTCATCGTTTTGGGTACGGAATCCAAGGATTTGCTCTTAGTGTGAAGGAAAGGTACGGTGTAGAGCATGTACTTGAGGAGCCATTGGGAGTTGGAGGGGGTTGTTTTGGGATGATGGGTTGATGTCCACATGGTGAAGGATGATTGGGTGGTGTAGAGTAGTGAGTTGCGGCCTGATGCAGCTGATTGTGAGTCGTCGGACCATCGACGCAATTGGTTGTGGAGGATGGTTGAAACTGTACGGGAGTAGTGATCGTCCTCTGGCTCTGCTGCTGGCAAATGGTTAACAAACTTAAAAAATTATTAAATATTTTATAAAATTTTAGGAATTCTTTTAATAGCCAAAATTTATGGCTAAATCCGTTAATGGATTGGAAAGGTGGATATATAGTATAATGGTAGAATGAAGCATCCCATACCTGATGCATGCAATTGGTGCAGCTCCAAACTATCTGACCATCTAGGGGGTGACTCGGCTCTACATGAATCGGCTTGGCTCCTCGGTAACAACTGAAAACCCGAATCAAAATGGCTGGAGCCATCATTGGGTGATCCGAACCTAATATCTTCAGACATATCAACTTCCAGTAGCTCATTGACGTCCTCCACGGCTGCAGCCATGCCACTTTTATCCTCATCATGACCACCTTCAGAAAGATGACCCGTTTCTGCCTCAAAGTCCGACCCATTTTCTTCTTCTTCATCGTCATCCTCCTCCTCATCTTCATCATCATTCTCAACATCATCTTCATCCATCGAATACCCATTTTCTGGAAGGTTGATTGTAGCTGGAATTTGATGAGTTGAAAGGGCGGTGTTGGAAGAATGGGCGGAAAGGGCGGGTTTAGGCGGTGGTGGGAGGATTCGATGGTTGTCGTTGTCCACCGTGAAGAAAGTTTTCACATGTCGAACGAATTCAACGGCCTCCTCTACCTACATGTGCATCCATGTTACGCATTTATATATGTGCATACTTATTAACTATACCGAATTCAACTTAATGAGGGTGGATGTACACATACTATACGAACTAAAACGTTAGGAAACGTGGACACTAGTTTTTATGTGTAGTTTCACATACGAAAAAATATATAAACGTACGTGTTACAAAATCACACGTCTCATTCATGTCCCACCAATGAAATTAAGACGCCTTAGCTATTATTTATTTAACTCAGATTCAGTTTCTATCTCTGATTATGTGTGTTTATATGATTGGTGGACATGAATTAGAAGTGAAAACTTGGGACATGTGACTTTTATCCTAAGTGTATAGTGTTGTTTCACATGAAGAATTCATGATCAATTCGCATGTGAAAAGAAACACGAATTCTAGCAGAATATGATGCTCACAGAATGGTTACTTTAGATCAGTTCTCGTGTATTTGTAATATTTTTATGGTTTACAGTTGAAAAATAAATATTTGGTTATATAGTGATACTAATTGTATATAAAAAAATGGGTCTAACCTTTTCAGTTGTTCCAAGTTCCACGACTCCATTAAGTAGAGGGATGCATACCACAGTCTGTAAATCAAATTGGTGTTAGAAGTTACAACAACTGCAAAGACAGAAGTGTGTATACAATTCTGATCATGACATTTTATCAACCCAAAACATTACAAACAGACCCTTAACAAATATAATAAAAATGATAAGCAAATGTTTCTTATCATAAAATATAAAATTCAACAGAAAAAAATACTAGAAATTATTTTTGTATTCAAATTATACGTCTGCATATAACATAATGTATTTATTGTGAACGTATTTTAATTTATATAGTAACAGACAAAAATTTATACAAGGGTCCCAAGAACTATTCTTATGCACTATCGATCACTAAATAGAAACTGATACTGATTCATATATATATATATATATATATAATTGGGGCCATTGTTTTGATTGGCTGCTATTCATTGGCTGATATTCCCTGTCCCACCCTGTCCAATGAAGGGATCGGATAGATGATAATATATGATAATGTTTTGTCGCAAATTCAATATCTCTTTCTTCCTCRTCGATAACCTGAAGCATATGTTCTTCACGTATAACTGAGTTGGTAAATAAACGAAGCGACTTTACCTAATATATAATAAGTTTAAGTTTGAATTGTGTAAAAGGTTGGTTTAAACCGTCGGTTAATCTAAACGGCTGAGCCATTGAGTTAAATCTAAAATGCTTTCTCATATGTGGCTCTTAGGGGATGGGTTTCGTGTGAGCACGATCAAGGTTGCCGATGATTAATGCTCAAATAATCATTTTATTGAAGAAAAAAAATAAAAAGAGAGTTTCTTAGTTACTTTCTTTATTTTGGATATATTTTTGGGGAATCTGTTGGAGATTAATTTTAGTTCAAAATCTCCATTTTTCTCATTTTCTACATTTTGGAGAATTTGTTCCAACGGATTCTCTATAATTTATCTAGAATAGAGAAATCAAAAGTTAAAATATCTAAAAGGAATTACATTTATCTCCAACATATTTTATATTTTAAAGATTTCAACATAAATTATATTGTTATAACATTCTCTAACTTTATCATCCCATTACAATTTTATAAGAAAACTTTATATCTATATACTATATTATAAATCATTTGGCAAAAACTCTTAAAATCCATATTTTGTGCATGAAATATTGTTTATTGATACATATTACTTAAAATTTAGGATTACAAGTAAATTATGCATAATTCTAACTTAATAGTTATCTTAATTATAAAAAAAATCAAGATATATCTCGCTGCATTGTGCGAGTACTCTTCTAATAAATAACAATGATTCACTCGATAAAATTGAATAAAATAATCATTTTTCTCTTTATATGTTAAGTTGTAGAAGATTACTTAAAATTAAAGTTTATTAAAAGAATATTATATAAAATATSTTCGAACACTATATAAAATAAAATCTTTGAAGATATATTGACTGAAACAATRACATGGACCGTAATAGTTGAGGGTGGAAATTGACTTGCCTGTATATGAGCACTCTGTGTAAGAAGCAAACCGCAGGAGGCAAAGCAGCAAACGTCAAAATGTCAGAGAACTTTAAAATAAAGCATTACAATTATATTTAATGCTAACAAATTTTAAATTTTAAAGATTTTATTTCAATATATTTTAGAAAAAACTTTATGTAACATAATAATACTTATAACTTCGTTGGTGGGGATTTATAGAAAATATTCAGCTATCTCTTTTCTGGTCAAGTTTTACAAAAAAATTGATCTCAGAGTTTCTATTATTTCCTATATTTTATAAAACAATTAGGATATTATTTGATAACTTTATATGTTGTAAAATCGTGAGAAATTTTATATGTTTCACATGATTTTCTTTTTATCTAAGGCTTAACATTTGATGAACATATATTTGTTTCAAAATATGTTTGTTTCATATGTACGCGGTTTAGAATGTGAAACGTTTTTATATGTGATTTTTGTTTCACAAACAAGATAAAAAGGTTAACGATGTGAAACAAACACATTCTAAAAAATACATGTGTTAATTGATATTCTAAATATTAATCTTAGATGAGAAGAAAAACATATGAAATAACACATGATTCACTAATTCTCAAAGTTATCGTAATTTAATGGGTTATAAAAAAGGTCCACTTGAGGGTGTAATGACCGAGTCAAGTCGAATAGTAGGTTAATCGAGTTGGGCTTGAAAAATTAATTTTATAATCAAGCTTGACTCGGGATGGATTAACTTTTTCAAAGTAGGCTCGAGCCCGAATTTTTTTTTGAGCTATCAAGCTCAATGCTAGTTTATGGGTTCAAACTCGCAATGATTAACTCGTCTATCGGCTTGAGATTAATAATTTTTATATTTTTGTTGTATGATTGATGTATATATAAGCATATTTGACTCGAAAAATTTAATTGAGTTTTCAAACGAGTCGAACGCTAGTGTTATTAAGTTCGGCTCGTTAAATTAAACAAGTTCTACTTTGTGTTTGAGATCGAACCGAACTCAAGAAGTATTAAGCTGAAGCTCGAATAACTAGTTAACAACTCGACAAGTTTACACCCTTAAGCAACTCCAATCGAACGGCAAAACTAGGGTTTTGCCGTTCTTTTGGATCCAATCGCACGCCAAATACACCAAAGTTTTGCCGGATGAAGGAAATGAACGGCAAATTTGCCGTGGAAGAGATGGACGGCAAAAGGTTGGAGTTGAGTTTTTTTTTTGTGTCTATGGACCCATCTATTTGGTGTTTTTTTTTGTGTGAAGGTTGGAGCTGCCCTTAGCTCCACTAACAAATATATTGAAACAAAATCTCAATTTTTTCTATAATTTGCTTATTGAAATTTTATGATGAAATATATATATATATATATATATATATATATAGAGAGAGAGAGAGAGAGAGGGGTTGAATTATTATGCAACAATCTTTTACATTTGTACAACCAATACAACTCAATTTCAACCGTCCATTTAATTTGATGAATATGTAATTTTATAAAAGTTTTGATTGTTTCCTAATGTAAAGTATTGATCATAATTAATGAACACCAGTCATCTTTCATAAATATTCAAATCATAATAAATTAACTCTCTATCGTTTTCATAAATATCTCAATTGATTAGGTTGCATTGGTTGTACAATTATAAGAAGTTGCATTTAAAACGTGATATCTCTCTATATGGGATCTGGCGATCCGCGTACCTTGGCAAGGATAGCTCTGGTGAAAACTTTACTATCGACTTCATTTGCACCTGTGAGCCATAGCTGTTGCTGTTTCGCGTATGCTTCTCCGACTAATCTGCAATCATATCAATATAACCTAATTAATATCATCAATCTTATTCTGCCATCAACGCGAAATTAGGAACACAATGAGATCCAGTTGGTTTGTATTTGATTCGTATTGATTAGATTATGTGTTTGTTTAATATGGGAAAACTCGATCACAGGTCTTTTAAGATGCAAAAACTGTCGTTAAAATCATATCATTGAGATGAAATGAAGTAGATCTGGTGGTATTAATGCAGTAACAGAAATAATAATTGAAATCGGTTGCAGAACGATACTGCACCGAGCTGAGATTCCGCCATTTTTGGGATGAAATTGAAGTAAATATCACGAGAAACACCAAACAACCAACCAGGGCCGGTCCTAAGATTTTTGATGCCCTGTGCGAAAATAATAAAATATGCCCCTAACCCTATTTTTTAAATCAATGAAACAACGAAACATGCGATTTTTTAAAGAATTTAGAACCTATTCAAACGAAGTATCTCATCCTCATTTTGATTTTTATTAATTATAATAATAAAAAAATACAATGAGAAGAACATAAAAACCAAAACCCCGAATACAAAATATAAATGATAAATCATGGATTAAGATCATGCTTCCTTCTTTTCCAGTTTTACCTTTTCCAAATTAAAATTAGCAAAATAGAAACTTTATTTCAATATATGGAACTTAAAAGACAAGAAAAACCATAATTAATTTTTAATTAAGATAGTAAATTACATCCAAGTTATTGTCATATTATACAAAAAGTAAAAAAACTCAAAAGTTACAGGTCTAATAACTAAAGGCGAAGGGCTATCTGTTAGCAACTTAATAAGTTTAATAGATCTAACAGCTTATTCGCTCAACTATGCATGAATGTTTCGTAGTGGCTTAATGATATAGAAAGTAACTTATCCAATAAGCTTTTAGGATGAGCTTTATATAGAAAGCCAAAAAAAAATTCCAAACATGTCCCTTTCAACTAAAAAAACATTCCTTACGTTTGTGAAAAAACTCTCTCAAACAAAATTTTTTCCAACTTATACAAACAAATTAATTCATACAAACAAAAACTTTTCCTACTTTTTCCAACGATGTGCATTCAGTATTCATCACTACTAGGCCTTGGGCCTGTTTTTATAGTTAAAGCTCAGTTGCTCAATTACCAAATTATTAAACCCAAAACTAGTAATAAATGACAACTTGATGCCCCTTTAGGCTTTGATGCCGGCTGCACGTGGCCAGGGCCGGCCCTGCAACCAACAAACATGAAGTTTTAGGTCAAATTGAAACCACCAGTAATGGCTAGCATGACGTACCCGACGCCGGGAGGGAAAGAGAATGAGACACACATGAGGTAAAACCATTCAGATTCCGTCAGATCCTCCGGTGACAATGCCACCGACGGACGACGTATCGGCGGCTGCTGCTGGTTGTCCGTCACCTGATGATCACCTGTCTCCAACGAATCGTAAAGCTCTCTGAGCTGCTCGCTTCTACTCAACGCAGCCTCCTCCGTACTAACTTCCACAGACTGCACCGTCTTCCTGGTCTTTATCGCTCCATTATAGTATCCATCTCCCCAAACTAAAACCCTAGATATTATACGGAAAGAAAATCAACCAAAATTATTGGAAGCATCAAATCGAAAAACGATATGATAACCGTACCGTCCTTGAGGACAAAATTTCCAGAAAATAGTGTAGGTCCATTGAACAGATTGTACAGCGGACTGTAGCATGCGTTTCAGTCCATCATAAGGTGGACCGGCGGCGGCCATCATCGAACGTACTTGCTTCGTCTGAAATACGTGTCTTAAGAAAGCGGAAGATTCGAGAACCGATCACATGTACATGATATTGAGAAATTAGGTATTTCCGGCCAGATCTTCGAGTTTTGCGTCAGAATCCACCATCAAAATCAAGAGTAATCAAGCTTTTTGAGATCGATCTGGAGGTGGTATGTGTATGTGATGAAGAAGGAGGAGGGTTGAAGTTGACTGGTTGGTCTACCAGACTCTTCAACTCAAGTAGCTCCCATCACTACCTATCCCTATCTATTGAAAAAGGCGTATGAAGTTTTGGAGTATGGTTTCCATGTTTCAACCCAATCTCAATCAATATCTTTCCATTTTTATGAAAACTCCTAATAAAAAAAAATTTTAATTTCACTTTTTTTCTTTCGGCTATATTTTAAGTCAATTTCATTTTTTTAGTTAACTAAAATGCTACTTGTGTAATGCAGTAAGATAAATTTCAATTTTAATATTTTATTTTATTTGTTTATATCGATATAACATGATTTTATGTGGTTTTGAAAAACCGATAATGTTTTTATTTTGAATAAAATATAAATTTGAATATATCATAATTTTTTTAAAAATACATCAATATTAGTATCAAATTAATTATTTATCGTTTTTTTGTGTAACCTTTTTAATCAAATTTTTTATCGTAATCTAATTTAGGCTTAATAACAAAATAATTTATTTTTAATTTAATAATATCATTTTTTTTATAAAGATAATAAATAAATATTCTGTTACAACTCAATAGTTGTCTTAATTATAATTTAATTTTTTTGTATTTAAAAATGTAGTATCTATCATGTTTGTCTGCAGTTTGTTACACGAATTCAAAATAGAGTTTTAATAAGTTGTATATACGCATAATTTATTTGTAATCTTAAATTTGAAATAATATGCATCAATAAACAATACTTCATACATAAAAAATATTTTTTAAGAGTTTTTACCAAATGCTTTATAATATAATATAGATATTTACATAAAAAACTTACGCACATACGTAAAGATAGGTTTTCAGCCAATATAAAATTATAATTGAATCCTTAGGCATATGAGTAATGATTCTTCTTTTTTTTCCCCCGAAAACCAATCCTTATGCTTGTAAGCAAGTCTTTTACATAAGGACCAGTTAAAAATTTGAATTTTAGTAAGAAAATGGCTAAAAAGTGAAAATCTATTTGCTGATTGGTTATTTCTGTCAATTTTCCCTCATAAATAGTTTGTTGGTTCTTTTACTTGTCATAAAATAAGTGTTCACATTTTTATTATAGTTTCTTTGAAAATAAATATCATATGATCTCCACCAATTATGTTGTATTTTATCTTTCTTCTTCCAAATTTGGAGTTTTCTTCATTCTCTCTATTTTTTTTTTCTCTATTTTAGAAGAGATTTTAGCGTAACTGTAGAATCAAAAATTTCTCTTTTTTCTAGACATTTTCTCTCCAAATTCACCAAAATAGCCATAAATCCGCAAAACCCACATCCACAAATAACATTTACATTTTTGACCCAGATCTGCAAAAGAAATTTACATTTTCACCCAAGTCAGCAAAAAATTCCATTTTTCACTTAGGTCCGCAAAAAAAATCATATTTCTCATCCAGGTCCGCAAAAAAAAAAAATGCAGACCTAGGGCTATTGTGGTAAACCTTGTAAAAAATGGCTAAAAAGTAAAATCAACCAGAATTTTTTTGATTTTTAATAATTTATTTAAAAAATATAGAGTATATGTTGGGTATGCTTTTACTTTTTTCGTCCCTTTCCTTGTCACTTCGGTCATCCACATTTTTTTTTTCTCAATCTCTTTCACTACGATTTTGTGCTATCGTGGCTCGTCTGCAATCATTCGAATATTATGGCCCACGATAAATACATTGCATCACTTCTATCATTGTTTTAAACTTGCAAGTTTTTAGTTTTATGTAACTTGTTTTGTCGAATCTAATTTTGTCTTCACATCCAATTTAAAACAACTAGAAGTGTCATTAATCAGTCGAGTTGATCCGCTAACGTGTCACCGGTTTGTGGTATTTGTTTCTGATTGTCGTAAATTGCAAATTTATTGCTGTATGTATATATAAGGTTGGGTTCCGGTGAAAATAAAAATTATGGTGAGAAATGTAAGAAGAGATATTCACCATTGGATCAGTACTAATTGCATGTCAACACTAGTGAGGTGCATCTTGCGCTCTGTTTATTTTATTCGATGTTTTACATGATTGATAATGCATCTGTGAAATCAAAGAATATTGAGAGAAAAAAATGTCTTCCTCTCGTGGCAAAAGCCATTGATTTATTACGTTAGAGGAATTTACAACCATGTCACGAAAAGAATCCCTTTCTTTTTCTGTATATTTGACATCTCTTCATCTGCAAATAATTCTCGATGTGAAAACACAGAAACAAAGGGCTGAGTTTTGAATATGAAAAAGAGTGGATCTGCAGGTCCCAAGTGAATTGGCTTATTTGAAAAAAGCTTTGTTCTTTGGAAGATCTATCTCGTATCTGGTACTGCACGGTTCCACTTAATTCCCTTCTAAAGACAATTCATGGATGGACATGGGATTGGAAGTGGCCAAATGTTCTGATCTCTTATTACGTTTCTCCGAAAAAATATACACAAAATCCCCAAAATCTTTATTTTCTTCAATTTAAAAAATCTATTGAAGATGTGTTTAGATCGTTCGTAATAATTTTATTCACGTAAGACAATAAATATTCATAAATTACATATCTATACTATCTTATAAAACATTTGGTTAAAACTCTTAAAACTCTTAAAACTTTTAAAAAGTCTTAAGCCCGTTCATCCCTAAATGATTCCATCCCTATCCGATTTCAACCATATCTGAATTCGTGTAACTAACTGCAGATAAACACAATCAAATACAAGATAAACATCTCATTTTAAATATAAAAAATCTAAAATATAATTAGTATAATCATTAAATTCTAACAGAATACTTAATTATCATCTTTATAAAATTTATAATATTAAACAAAAATTAAATTATTTTATTATTAAAGTTAAATTAAATTATATATAAAAAAAATATTCTATATTATAAATCATTTAACAAAAACTCTTAATAACACTTTTTATGCGTAAAGTACTGTTTATTAATGCATATTGCTTAAAACTAAATATTACAAGTAAATTGTGCGTAGGTACAACTTATTAAAGCTCCATATCTGAATTCGTGTAACTAACTGCAGATAAACACAATCAAATACAGGATAAACAT